GGGGGGAACTTACTTTTTTCACTCAGAAACTGCTAGTAAATTGACAAAGGATCCACATTTGGGCTTTCACACCTCGCGTTACTCCACTTTACTGTACTTACAGACTCTGCTTTTAACCCCGGGTAAAAGTAGGTTTTACACTTGTAATTTAGAAGCCGGTTTGACACCGCTTTTGCGGTATTAACCCCTCACTGCGGTGCCAGAACTCTTAGCAATAGACACCCAATCGCGTGCCTCGACTGACTTGCTTCAAACCGTCACGGAAACACCGCGCCTTGCATAAACAGTCGTTTCATTGAGTGGAAAAAATGCCTGAGGGCATTTTCAAAACTTTTCAAAAATCTGTTTTGAAAGTGGGTAATGGACTTTTGGACCTCATTGTAGCTACGTGTTGTATCTTTATTCCATCCACCCATCGGATTGTCTTCCTATTAAAGCCAGGAGTATATATGAAACATTAGTCTGCTACTCAGCATCCCAGAGCTATTTACAATCTGCTGTGCTTTAGAGGAGTTGGCCACGGTGAAAGAAAGGAAAAAGAAAGTGGTTGATTAATTCACCATTTGACAAGTGGGTGTTCAGAGTTCCACTCGTTTTTCCCTCTCCGCTTCTTTCTCTCTTTTGTCAAATAATCAGAGAGCCAGAGACCAGCTTTATCTTTTAACCGCCTTGATTTTGTCACTTTAAACGCACTGGGGACAGCTAACATTTGAGGACCGGGAGCAAAAATAAGGAGGATGTTTGCTTAAAGCTGCAGTTCATGATTTCTGTGGCACTGTCTGCCATTGGCTAGTTAATTAGATGGTCCCACCCCAAACTCATGCCATTTGTTTATATTTTTGATGACCATGAATGGCTTACTTTTAAGGAGAATATCTAAAGATGGAAAAATATTACACACCTTTAAGCAGAGTTTAAAAACTTGATTTAAATAAAAAAGTATTGCAGGCAGAGAGGAAAATGTTCCAATGAGCTGTACTACACAGTCCAAGGACTTTCTCTGTGAGTGCAACATATGGCATGTGTGCATGAACAGTATACATTGTGCATTTAAAAACGGTTCATAGGAAATTTGTGATAGCAACACATTCTCGTCTACTGATGTTATAGAATCCGCTATAGATATAGATACGTTCGGATGAGAAATCACATGCTTGCAGCACGTCCCTGAAAGGATCCAGTGGAGAGGGGAAATGAAAAGGCCCTGATGGTTAGACAGCAGCTTTCTGTCCTTGCTCTGCTGGCACGGAGTAGACCCTAGAGAAACAGAGAGAGAACAGTCAGTTCACTATGGAGACTTTGATTAAATCTTTAAGACTTGATGCTCCATTTTTTTCTGCCTTTCCCTTAACAGGATGTTTTCCTCATTAAAACGTTTAACACATAATGGAATTAATGACAGATATGTTTAAAATGATGCATACCAAGTAAAAGCTTAATGAAAGCTGTTATATTTTTAAACGGAGCGGGTCATGAGATTAGTCAAATATTACTCACTTTTTGCAGGTTTATTAGATACCTTTGTTGACTGCAAATCAGCCTAACAACAAGACTTCAATACATATCATATTTCAATACTAAAGTCCTCTGAAATATGATATGAGAGACATTAAAGTAGCAGTTTGACCGATCGATGACGGCCAATATAGTGCAACAGGGTTCCAGAAATAAAAATTCCCATTCATTTTTGGCATAAAATAAACCTTTAAATACAGACTTACTCTGAGCTTTGAGGTAGTTAATACATGGTGCATACTTTTGTTTTTGTTGTTGTTGTTGTTTAAATAATCATGTTGATTGTCT